TTTAAATCGAGATCGCAATCCCGGGTTAAAGATATTGTGGACGCAATTCAACGTTATTGGCCTCCGGGAGCTATCCCAGGATGCTCCCTTGTGACCGCTCTGGTCAACACTCTCAGCTCCAATGCACTAGCCAGGTGGGCAGGAAAAGCCCCGGAAACTTTTGAATTTCATTTCCTGTTTAGTCACCAGCAGCACAGGTGACCATGCAGAGTCCACCATCACAGGAGATCACGCAGTCCCGAGCTCCAGCATGGTCCGAACGGGAGGTACTGGATCTCATCGCATGCTGGGGAGACGAGTCTGTTATGGCAGAACTACGTTTCAAAAAAAGGAATGCAAATACCTACGCTAAAGTCTCCAGGGCTATGACGGAAAGAGGCTAGTCCGGGGACACAGAGCGGTGTCGTACAAAAATCAAGGAGCTCAGGCAAGCATACCAAAAAGCCAGGGAGGCAAACGGGCGCTCTGGGTCACAGCCCCATACGTTCCGCTTTTACCGTGAGCTCCATGCAATTATGGGGGGTGATGCAACCACTAACCCGCCACTGTCCGTGGGCACCTGCAAGTGAGGAGTTAAACGGAGCGAGGAGGAAGAGACATTGGAGGACGAAGAGGAGGAGGAGGACAGTGCACAGGCGGCAAGTGGGGAATCCGTTTTCCCCCCAGCTAGGAACTAATCTTAACACTGGATCCAATAGCCTCCCCTCACTCCTAAGGCAGGCTCCTGTTCCATGACCCTGGAGAAGGTACTTCTGGTGAGTGAGAGCCTGATCGGAGCCACGCAGTGGGGGGCGGGGAACCCAGCCGCACTGGGTTGTTCGCGTTTAAAGTAAATGGCTCAGCTCATCCTTGCTCTGAGCCTGATTGGAGCCACACCGGGGGAGGGGAGGTTGCTGTGTGCAGTGATCATCCCAGAGAGCCCGCAGGTCCTCCTTTTATATGGCAAACCCACCAGGCATTGCTTGCTGTGGGAAAGGGGGCCCAGCAGTTTGAAAGCATTGAAAAGACTGTAGAAGAAGCAGAACCCCATGTGCCCCTAGGGGCTGCCTGCAAGATGAATTCTGTTGCCCAACCGTGTGTGATGGCTTACTCAGACCAAAGTGCCCCCTTTGTTCTCTGCAATGTATTTTTTAAAATACTATCCTCCTTTTTTCTCCTCCCGCAGGTGCAAATGTTTCAATGCGGCCTCTATCTACTCCGTCCCAGAGGCTAGTCCAGATTAGAAGGCAGAAAAAATGAACTCGGGACGACATGTTCGCCGAGCTCATGCAGTCCTCCCGCACTGATAGGGCCCAGCTGAATGCATGGAGGCAAACAATTGCGGAGTCCCATAAAGCATGAGATGAGAGCAGGCAGGACGCTATGGTCAAACTCATGGGGGAGCAAACTGACATGCTCTGTCTGCTGTATGGTGGATCTAATGCGGGAAAGGCAGCAAGACCACAGACTTCCGCTGCAGCCCCGGTATAATCAAACTCCCTCCTCCTCAAGTTCTATAGCCTCCTCATCCAGAAGCCCAAGAACACGAGTGGGGAGGCTACGGGGACCCACACACTCAACCCCAGAGGATCGCCCAAGCACCAGAAAGCTGGCATATGCGAACTTTTGATTTGGTTTCTGGACTTGTGCTTCCCTCCTCCTCCACCCCCCTAACCCAACCCACCCACCCCCAATCTACTTCTAATTTCTCTCAATGCATTGTGCATCAAATAATAAAGAACAGTTTTTAAACAATTTTGACTTTATTTCCTTTCATATATATATATAGGGTGCGGGTAACTTCAAGAGAAATAAACACAACTGTCATACCGTACCCTGGCCAGTCATGAAACTGGCTTTCAAAGCTTCTCTGATGCGCAGCGCGTCCTGCTGCGCTCTTCTAATCGCCCTGTTGTCTGGCTGTGCGAAATTGGCAGCCAGGCGAGTTGCCTCAACCTCCCATCCCGCCATAAAAGTTTCCCCCTTACTCTCACAGATATTGTGGAGCACACAACAAGCAGCAATTACAATTGGAATATTGGTTGTGCTGAGATCTAACCGAGTCAGTAAACTGCACCAGCGCCCTTTCAAACATCCAAAAGCACACTCCACCACCATTCTGCACTTGCTCAACCTATAGTTGAACTGCTCCTTACTACTGTACAGGGTGCCTGTGTACGGCTTCATGAGCCATGGCATTAAGGGGTAGGCTGGGTCCCCGAGGATAACTATAGGCATTTCAACATCCCCAACAGTAATTTTCTGGTCTGGGAAGTAAGTCCCTTCCTGCAGCTGTTCAAACAGACCAGAGTTCCTGAAGATGCACCTTTCCTGGTCATCCCACGTTGATGTTGGTGAAACTTCCCTTGTGATCCACCAGTGCTTGCAGCACCATGGAAAAGTACCCCTTGCGGTTTATGTACTGGCCGCCACGGTGTGCCGGGGCCAAGATGGGGTTATACGTTCTGTCTATCGCCCCGCCGCAGTTAGGGAAGCCCAGCTCATTGAAGCCATCCACAGTGGTCTGCACATTTCCCAAAGTCACTACCCTTGATAGCAGCTGGTCAATGATTGCGTTGGCTACTTGCAGCACAGCACCCCTACAGTAGATTTGCCCACTCCAAACTGATTCCCGACTGACCAGTAGCTGTCGGGCGTTGCAAGCTTCCACAGTGCTATGGCCACTCGCTTCTCAACGGTGAGAGCTGCTCTCATTTTGGTGTCTTTGCACTTCAGGGCAGGGGACAGCAAGTCACAAAGTTCCATGAAAGTGGCCCTACGCATACGAAAGTTTTGCAGCCACTGGGAATCATCCCAGACCTGCAACACGATGCGACCCCACCAGTCTGTGCTTGTTTCCCAGGCCCAAAATCAGCGTTCCACAGCATGAACCTGACCCAGTGCCACCATGATCTCCCAATCACCACAGGCCGTGCATCTAGGAACGTCTGTGTCCATGTCCTCATCAGTATAGTAATCACACTGTCATCGCTTCCTCGCCCAGTTTTGCAGGTACTGAACATACTGCTGCATAATGTGCGAGGTATTTACAATGGTCAAAACTGCAGCAGAGATCTGAGCGGGCTCCATGTTTGCGGCGCAATGGCGCCTGCATGGATAATCCTTGAAAAAGTGCGCGAAATGAGCTGTTTGGTTCAAGATGGCCGATAAAAGGCGGTAAATGGTTGTCTTCTGTAGCTTCCACGGGAGCCCAGGACAGCTTCCGCCGCTTTCTTCAGATTGTCTGTGCGGCTCTGTTCATGGTGGGCGAGAAACAGCAGGGAATTGTTGCCTTCTGTAGCTTCCATGGGAGCCCAGGACTAACAACAGGGAAAAAGCAGCGAGAGCAGAGTTTGCGGCGGAAACGTGAGCAGAGTTTGCGGCAGAAGCTGTGCGGCTCTGTTCACGATGGCCAAGAAACGGCAGGGAATTGTTGCCTTCTGTAGCTTCCACGGGAGCCCAGGACAGACAACATGGAAAAAGCGGAGGAAGCTGTGTGGCTCTGTTCACGATGGCCGAGGACATTCGAAGTGGATTCAACATACCAGGAGACAGGCGGTGCACCGTGCTGCACCGTCTGCTGGCAGCATGGCGTCTGCCGTAGCTTTCACGGAGGGAGGAGCGAGTGACGGCACACACCCAGAAAAACCCGCGAAAATGTTTTTGCCTCATCATGCACTGGGAGCTTAATCCACAATTCCAATGGGCGGCAGAGACTGCGGGAACTGTGGGATAGCTACCACAGTGCACCGCTCCGACCTTCGATGCTAGCCTCGGTACTGTGGACGCACTCCGCCGAATTCACGCGCTTTAGTGGGGACACATAACATCGAATTTTTGAACTCTATTCTGGAAATTCGAATAAAATAACTTTGAATTAATTTCGTACTGTAGATGTACCCTTAGGGTGCTATCCTCCTCCTAGCAAAGTCATTGGAAGATTTGCCATTGACTTAAATGGGATCAGGATTGACCTCATCAGCAGTAAGACTCTTCAATCTGTGCTGACACCAGTTAATGCACCTCTTCATCTCTGCCTCCAGCACTCTTGAGATATGCCTTAAACAGTCTGAAGTATCATTTATTGCAGTTATAAATGGAGTACTAGAGGAGCAACTGTGGCTTTGCTAAGGCTATAAGGGTAGCCTTGAGCAAAGATGGATGTAGAGCTCCATTCCATGACTGTGAATGCCAGGCCAGTAATTACCAGTTTACACATTGTTTAATTAGTCTGGGAACTGGAGTCAGTGAAAATTAACAGAGTCTGTCTCTGTCTTTCAGCTTCAGTAAAGAACCCAGTTTATATTCATCACAACAGACTCCTGTCTCTTCTCTAAAGTGAGAGACTGCATGAGTTCTGAACACTAGTGGAGAGGATGCAGTAGTGAGACAGAAGGGACAAAACACAGCTTTAAATCCCTGATTATGACTTTCATCTACTGACTTACATGTGTTATTGCTCTATTTTTTTTCTTCATTGATTGTGATGGAGTTGTCTATTTGAAAAGTTCTGGATTGTGTAGTAGTACTAATTAACACCACTGTCTCATGGCTAGTTTAATCATATATGCTTCTCCTCAATATCTGCAAACTACAATCATCCCATTTCTTCCCAGCTTTGGATCGTAGTTATTTAGCAAAAGAAAAGGAGTTCATAATGATACTGCTTCATTTTGGCTTTTTAACATTTTATTATTTTTTTAATATTGTCTGTTTTGTGTTCATCAATGTTTTGTTTTAACTTTGAAGTGGTCTAGTCATCGTGTTAGGGAATGCTTTATAAATAAAACGGTCACTGTTTTTAGAGCCACTTTTACAATGTGCTATACCATTATTGAAGATACGTATTTTGATTGGCTTTGAAAATGGATTGTAATAAATTAATCTCGCATGGTATGATATTAAGTATCTTTTTAATTTCAAAAAAGTTTGACATTATTAGTAGGTTAAAGATAAAAGGTAGCTGAATCACATTAAGCATGAATTCCCATGGAATATTTGTATTCATGTGAGCTTGATTTGTAGATAGAATGAATTAAATATAGATATTTTTGATGAAAAATTTAAATTCCTATCATTTATATTGTATAAATCAATGCAGGCAATCAGATGATGCATAAATAGTCACTGTTAATAACAATTGTGTTCCTAAGGGGAAGGGACTCAAGCAGCTACATACTACAGTATTTCCCTTCACACAATTTGTGAAGTGGTTTTTGCTTCTTCCCAAGCACAGGCATTGTGTTTTAAGAAGAAGAAAGGATACATGTGATTAGGGCTGGACTTGAACATAGATATTTTCTACACTATACCATTTTGTACTTTCTAGTTTACTTGGATTGATATAAATAGGAGAGAGTGATATCTAAAATAACATGTATTGAGTAGTCAAATTCAGTGCAGGAAATGTTAACTCTGTTTAACTTACTTATAGTTACAGCTGACCAGTATTACTTGAACATTTTTATATGTGATTCCTCAACCTCTCAGGTTAGAGCTCTTTAGCTATAAATTATCCTCATACTTACCCCAGAGCTTTTGGATCAGAACCAGCCTATTTAACTTCAGACTATATTCTTGCTCTGTAAAGCCAATGAGAATGATGTTCAGTAGTGTTTTTACTTCATTATTGAAGATAACAAATGTCCTTGGGTCACTATATCCCCTGTTAGTACAATCAATCCAAGTATGCGTGTCTTAACTCTGTAGAAAGGTAGCAGGCTTCGTTGTTGGCCTTTGAGTTCTGAAGAGCACAGTGTCCAATAGATCCCCAGTTGAATCTCAATTCATGGAGATGACTCTAATGGACATTTTTATGCAGAGATCACGGAGCCTTGGAAACTCTCTTTGTATGAGTACTGTCAATACCTGAAAAGTTAGATCTACTTTTTGTGACACACATACTAAAACTAGTACTTTGTTTCCTAAAACATTTTTAGGCCATGGTTAATTGGGACCCAGTGGATCAGACTGTTCTAGCAAATGAACAGGTGGATGAAAATGGCTGTTCATGGCGTTCAGGAGCAAAAGTGGAACAGAAGTACCTCAGACAGTGGTTTATCAAAACTACTGTTTATGCAAAGGTGTGAGTATGAGGTTTTTGGACATCACCCCACAAAATCTCTCTTCAGGTCTTCATCAGGCTAGCAGGAGAATGTGTTATGCATGCGTTCGTGCACAAACTATTATTCCTATTTGCCTTTCTCCTCCTCCTCTAAAGTAAGAGATCTAAATAACTGGTTTAGGATTCAGCAGTGGAGAAGTCAAAAATGGGAATGGTTTGTTCTCACCAATAGGTACTATTTGTTTATATCCTGTTTTTATTTTTTTCTCATATATGGCCAATCAGGAAGATTAGGTTTGCCTTTCACATGTGCTTCTTATAGGTAAGGATCAGTGTTTTAAAATATATTTGAGTTGAGTAACCCTGTCAGAGTCTCTTCTCCTTTCACTTGTCATGTGAATCTTCAGCTAACAGGGACTGAATAATCATTAATTATTTTTTTAAAATTCTTTTTCCTCCTTGAAGCTTCTACAAAATGTTTGATCATTACCCATGAATATTAAAAACCAAGGCACATACTGTAGGTAGATCATCTTTCTGTTTATCTACATTCCTCTTTTATATCCACTTTCCTTCTCTGCTTTACTATGTTTCTCCCTTTTTTCTCCTGGCTACTACTTTTGCTTAACCTCCAATTATGTGCTTAAGTAACCCACCAAATAGCAATCATGCACAAAGGGTCAATAATATGTTATGCAATCATCTTGGCTGTTGCATTAATCAAGTGTACCTTTGTCATAACTATAAAGGGAAGGGTAACAGCTCTCCTGTGTACAGTACTATAAAATCCCTCCTGGCCAGAGACTCCAAAATCCTTTTACCCGTAAAGGGTTAAGAAGCTCAGGTAACCTGGCTGACACCTGACCCAAAGGACCAATAAGGGGACAAGAGACTTTCAAATCTTGGTGGGGAGGAAGGCTTTTGTTTGTGCTCTTTGTTTTGGGGGTTGTTCGCTCTTGGGACTAAGAGGGACCAGACATCACTCCAGGCTCTCCACATCTTTCTGAACAAGTCTCTCATATTTCAAACTTGTAAGTAAACAGCCAGGCAAGGCATGTTAGTTTACCATTGTTTTTCTCAACTTGTAAATGTACCTTTTACTAGGGTGTTTACCTCTGTTTGCTGTAACTTTGAACCTAAGGCTAGAGGGGGGTCCTCTGGGCTCTTTAAGTTTGATTACGCTGTAAGTTATTTTCCATCCTGATTTTACAGAGATGATTTTTACCTTTTTCTTTAATTAAAAGCCTTCTTTTTAAGAACCTGATTGATTTTTCCTTGTCTTTAGATCCAAGGGAGTTGGATCTTGATCCACCAGGAGTTGGTGGGAGGAAGGAGGGGGGATGGTTAATTTCTCCTTGTTTTAAGATCCAAGGGGTTTGGATCTGTATTCACCAGGGAATTGGTGAAGAGTCTCTCAAGGCTACCCAGGGAAGGGAATTAGCATCGAGAGTGGTGGCAGCGGACCAGATCTAAGCTGGTAGTTAAGCTTAAAAGTTTTCATGCAGGCCCCCACATCTGTACCCTAAAGTTCAGAGTGGGGAAGCAGCCTTGACAACCTTGTTTATGCACATAACATTTTTTAGGCTTCCAGTATGTCAGGAGAGATATTTTTGGTTTGTTTTTAGAATTGGTTATTGTTACTTCACCTATATTCATTCATTTCTTAAAATAAAGAAAACAAAAATTGAACAAAAATGCTGTTTGCTCATATGGCACTTCACCAATGATGACACATTTTCAAGGGTAGAAAGAGTGACTATGCAGATACTATTTTAAGTAATCATGACCATGTTGTCTCATTTTTGAAAACTTATCAGTAAACTTAAGATACTGTCAAGTAACTTTTATAGATTTTTTTTTAAAAAAGTAAATTCTAATTAGCTTTTTTGTTTTGACAAATTTCTTTGGTAAAAGTATAATGGGCTTAACTGATGGCATTATTATTCAAACTGTTATCTGTGCATTTTAGAATCTTATTCTGAAATATTTAGTTACTATGGTTACTCAGCTAGGACTGTGTGCAGATTCATCTGTTAGTTATTTCTGTATACAAGTGTAAAATGGTATAGTTATTTTTTATGCACAGCCAGCTAAGTCTTCAAATAATGATAGGTAAGGTTGGCCTTTGTTAGCCCTACCCTCTCCTGAAGGGGTGCTCTGAAAATTTCAATAACATTTTGATATTTGGTTTTAAAAACTCATATTAAGGAGCAGAAAATAGATAAATTTCAAATGTTGCAAAACAGAAAACTTCGAAATTTAATTTTTTTTCATGAATTCATATCCCTGTTTTTTGTCCAACTCTAGGGTAGTATATTTATACTTCATTTTAAAAATGTGGAAATTTGCAGGAACCACAAAATCCTGCCGTAGTTAGTTTATAGCCAACTCTGAGAATTGCTCACTCTGAGTGCATGTTTTTTAAACAAATATTTAGAGGCACATCCTTCCCATGGTACACAGGTTGAGTAGCTGGATAGTACATTATGAAGTTTTAGGCATAGTTTCCTACGCAACCCCTGGATGGAGAAATGGTCAGTGAAGGGACCTACCAGCTCGGTTGCAACTTTTCCCTTGACTTGCCCTTACACCTAACAGTCACTTTCTCAGCATTGTGTAGGAAAACCCCTCAAAGAAGGATTCCAGCACACAGGAATTTGTACCTTCTGGACAGGGGTTAGGCATTCAGCCCTACCAACATCCACAAACTGTGGAATCAAGGGAGTTCCACTGCTGTCCCTCCATTTGTCACTTTTTTGAGGTAGAGAGCTGAGTGGGTGTCACTGTGAATGTATTCATGGATGCATATGGTTTATTAAAGTGCATAAATTAAACCTCAGCTATGAAGAAAAAGACAACTGAGGAACTGTCTAATTTGAGTGAGGCAACAGAAGGAAATATTTCAATGTTATTAAATCCCAGATTGATTTGCCTTTAGAATTAGAATTCTGTGCTCCATGGCAAACCTGTGATTGTGCTGTTAATACCATGGACAAAAGAAATCTTGAAAAATATCAGATTTTTTTTAGAAAATTGAATGCTTATTTCCTACTGTATGATTTTATCTGCCAGTATTTAGAACAGCATTTCATGCTGAAAAAAGTGAAATTTGTGTGTGATGAGCACAAGTGGAATTAATAAAATCCTTGCAAGGAGAGAATGCTCAGATTAAAAGCAAATTCTGATTAACTTGTATTAATGGTTGGTTATGCCATAGAAAAGTATTGCAGTAATTTATTTGTCAGCAGTAGTGGTGACATCAAGAATGGAAATATAGGTCCAAATATGACTAGGCCTGTGTGTCCTGATTTCAGGTCTTAGGACCTTGCAAGAGTGGAGGGTCTAAGCCCCAAAGTCAATGCGGGATCCAGGGTTTGAGCTACACAAAGTGATTATTAGCTGAGGAATTGTGCTAACCTGATCAGTAGGTTATGTTTTCTGATGGGCCAGCCAACTCGAGTTAAAAGCACTACTACACTCAAGTTGACTGTGTGTGTGTGGAATGGACGTCAGTTAGGGGCAACACTCGAATTATAAAAAAAAAATCCTAATAGTCGC